CAAAAGCTGGTTGAGAAGTGGCCAATTTGGGCTTCGCTTTGTAGGTACACTTAGAAATAGCATAATCCCTGCTTGTTGCACTTTTTACTTATATAATTTACTTGACTTTGTGATTTGTAATTTCGATCGGGGTGGTACGTAGCTTGCAAATCACCGTGTCGACGCTGTAAAGGATAGAAGTTTAGTTTATGTTTCAGTGTACAAACATGATGATGTTCGGTTCGCTTTAGCAGATGCTGTAATTTTGAACCGAGCCATTCGATTTTCTTACAAACTTTCACTTTAAGATCGGAACGGCTTAGAAGTGAATTGACAGGTTGTTTTGATGTCTGGAACCCGACAAGTTTTAACGAAAAAAATACAAATAATATAAATGGGATGCCGTGGAGGTTATTTGATCATGTTAGGTGTGAAAACTCATTGCTATGACAGAGCTTTTTCGCTGAAGTCAGTCGAAGATTTACACGAGAAGGTNAAAAAAAAAAAAAAAAAAAAAAAAAAAAAAACTCTACAAAGTTTCGTTGCGAAGAAACAACAAAATTCTGCATTCAGTCGATGACAAATTAGCGGGTTTGTGCAGAATGTAAAACAAAAGTTTATTCAATCAGTCCGGGACATTATTGTTGTACGTCATAACGCCAATGAAAGTGGACGCGCTAAAAGTGGAATTTCACCTGCTCCTCAAGGCGGGAAACTCTACACAACATCATCAGACTAAACGCAGTGGGTGCAAAATATGATAATAAAACACCGAGTCGTAAAATACCACTTGTATGGAATATCAAAGATGGTAATATTTTAAGTTACACGACTGAACATATAATATGTAGGCGTCATTTTGCGTATTTAGCTCACACTGGCATTCTCTTTTCGAGATTCGTTCGCTTTTTCAGCATTACTCGCTGAAGATTTTTTCTCACCGGCAAGTTGAAAACAATTCAAGTATGCCTCGTATTCGGAAGTCGCTTACTCCCTTCCAGAATATTCCTCGTTCTTCGCAGAACAGCAAATGAAATTTTTCATGTATATTCATATATTCAACATTCGGGTCCGGTAATTCCATGTTTGTTTTCAGATAAAAATATTTTCATTGCTTATGTACGTCACAAGCTTTTCGTTGGAGTTTTTGTCGTTAGTTTCGCCTCGTGAAATTCGTCATTAATAACGAATGAGATAAATGATACAAGTTGAAATTATGTGTAATTATAATTTTGCAATCCGATAGCCAATATTTAAGAATTACTTTTGAATTATTTGCAGATCACATTATTCTTCAGAAAACACTTAAAGGTCTTTAAATTAAGGCACATGTATTCTGGCAAAGACGTGTCTGTTCTATTTTGTTCAAAAAATAGGTATCGAATAACATTATTCTTTAATAAGTGTCAACAACCATTTTTCTGATTACTGATATGCGAAAATTTCTCTTGAATCCAAATGCACTTCGCCAATCCCGTGCTAAATTAAAAAGCAATCAAATGTTTGTGGCAGTATCATTGAACCACTTCGAATTATCATATCCGCTGAAGCACAGTAATCACAATCATCCCGTCAGGTTAACTCCAGCAGTCTCAGCAATTTTGACATACCTGTGTAGGAGTAGAAATTCACCGCTGAATCAATTATCGGATATACTAAGTCAGTCAGCTTGCCCCATGCCGGCGAAGGCCATCCAAATAGAATGTATCTTGTCTTGTCATTTTAAAAGGTGTTTTAAAACGTTTGCGAGGGTGCAAACTTAGAAACACACTGGAAAAAAGAGACGAGTTGTTTGTCATTGTTGTTGTTGTTGTTTTATCAATAACTTAGGCGATCGGGCTGTGGAACAATTTTAACAAGTTCAATGCAAATCTTTCTCTTTTTTTAGTTCATAATACTGAAGTTCTGTACTCGTTTTGTTTTATTCAGTTGGCACACGACCTCACAAGCTGCAAGCTTTGACGAGTAATCGTGTTTGAAAATAGAGGTTCTATGTATGTATTGGGCTGGCCCAAATCAAAATACAAGGGATCTTGTCAACTTAGAGTTGTCTTTTCTCCAACGTATGCCTAAATTTTCCAGGAGGCCTGGCAGCTCTTTGTTACAAATACGTTCAACACAATGCAAATCAAACATATAAAACAGTTCATTCATGCATGGTGTACCTGCAGCATGCCAAGCAGGAGATAATAAGATTGTCTCCACCACAAAAGTCTATTTTGCAGGTCGGTGAATGTGGTTTAAAGATCTGAAAAATAATTTCTTAAACTTCAAGGGGTATACATTAACTCACAGTCTCCAAAATGTAACACTACAACGACTATAGTTTTAAAAGTTTTATATTTTCTACACTTTCTATTGGGGTGAATTACCGTCCACACTACGGCGGAGAAACTTGAAAGTGCAGCTTTATTTCTACGGTTAGGCCCATCGTCCACACTAATCCGTCACCAAAGCGGAGCTTTTAGAAAGCGCTCTTCAAACCGGAGGAATTTGAAAATGCCGGCCTTGCGTTTTCGAGTGGACAGAAAACATTTTGAAAACGGAGCTTTTTGAAAACGATGACGTCACGGTAATCATGTGATTTCCCTGGCCGAGTCTTCCTCGACCACAAATCCAAAATGACCGGTGATTGTTGCGTTTTCAAATTCTCCGGCGTAGTATGGATTAGTATTATAAATCTTCCAGAAATTGATCCTAACAACTGACTGACGGTTTTTTCTTTTAAATATTATTTTATGTTAACTTATTAAGTTTAACTTGGGCTACGTTATTTTAAAATAGACTGCTCTTCTTACTTGTAATAGCGATATTACTTTTCCATCTTTCTGTGAATAAGATAAGCTATATACTCATTCGTTGTTTCGAGTATTTTGTATGAGCAGAACGAATTCTTTTTATAGCTGTATATTACGTGTTTCAAGATAACGTCATTCCGCGCGCACACATGGTTAAAACTGGTTTAGAATTATGGGTAGTTGTTTTGAGTTATATCCAATTGGTACATACTTTTTTAACTTTTTGAAGTTACCTTCATTGTAACTCGTTTTCAGAAGGAAAAAACGCTTGCAACAACTGTGTAATAGAATCTACACTATCGTTTGGCTAACTCTTGCATCTCTGCTCACCATAATGGCTTAACTTTACCTGTTTAATGGACCTTTTCGTGAGCATCCCATAATAGCTTTTTGAAACAATAGAATTCAAAATGGCCGCGGTATGGCCGAAAAGGTCCATTCAGAGAGAGTTGTCTTGGCGAAAGGCTCCAGTATCTCAGATTGAAACAAACGTAAAAGATATATGTATATGTATGATAACGTTAAATTAATGCGGATGTGAAAAAGGTAAGATTTGGTTTTCGCATGGCGACGAATTTCCAGCTCGAATTCTTAAAAATTCTTGAGCACACGATTGTTAAACATCCATACAGCGGCAACATGTTTCAAGTTCATTTGTATAAAGATGAGATGCGCATGTGATATTTAAAATTATTGCATTTTTTTGAAACAGGTACAAGTAATTTTTCAACTTTTATAATTAGCCACCGGCATTAACTCTATAAGTATGTTTGGTGTGTGGGGGGATGTATGCTTATTATTAGTAGTATAATTTATTAGATTGTTTTTAGTGTTCTTTATCCCGTATGATAAGTCCTTTATTGACCAAGCTTGTTCGGTCAAGATGGCTGGATATTGGCCTCGTTCATGGACCGAGACGGAGTCGAGTCTAACAAGCTTGGTCAATAACCCATATTTATGTACGTCGGATAGGTCCGTAATACGTATCTACTAACTACTTATTAACCGTTAGTGAGGTCTCAGAAAGAGAAAATCTCAAACCAAGAGTTTGCCGTCAATACGGCAAGGCCGAGGTCTGAGATTAATCCGTAATGACCGAACATTTGAGGTTAATAAGTTGTTTGTTATAAGACTTATGACTTTGTTTTTGCCGGCCCATAATCGGCCCGTGGGCCGTACGGGAGAATAATGTCTTAGAATTATGGCCTATCAGAGCACGCGTTATATCGGTTACAAAGACAAGCCATATAATAAATTGTAATTAATGAAATTAATGCGAACTTTGGCCTTCGCCTTTGCTCTCCCGCTATCATCTTCAACCTCACCACGGGTATGCACGAAATTGACAAGTTCAAAGCGAAACAAACATCTGCTAAAAATTGAATCGTGAACTAAGATTGACTTCGTTTTTGGTGAAAGTCTTTTCCGTTTTCAAGATACAGCACTCAATTACAGATTTTAGAAGTTCCATTTATTAGAAAGCAAAACAGCATACATATAAAATAAAATTAAAGATGTATCGTTTACCTATCCAAGCATAATTTCAAGAAAGGTGTAAATTTAGCCTGTTGTAGTCAACAGGCATTGAATTCATCCGCGGTGAAAATTTCCGAACGATTGTCATGCAAAGATTTAAATAAAACTTTAAATTGTTGTATGATTAATACTCCTTTTTTAGTTCGGAATATACGTGTTTAAATTAAAACCTAAATTATTAGATGTATTTTTTGAAGACAGTAATATCAGTGATCAATTTTGCGGGTGCAATGTGAAAAGAGATTCGCTGCTTTTATATAGAGTGTATGGCTAAAATTTAACGGTGCTATTCAAATAAATGCGAATGAATATTAAGGTAAATATAGTTGTTTTATTGTTAACAGAGCAAAAATCGTGCATCTGGTAAAATAAAACACAAGGCTTTCTTATTCAGGATAAAATGAACAATGGAAAACGTTTCCTTCTGGAAGCGAGCGGGAAACAACGACGAATTATTTGCTTACCTATTCAATTCAATTCGATTTTGAATTCAATTCAATAATAACCAATAATATATACATCACTTGGCGCTACCGAAAATGCTGCTTTGGAGACCATTTTGTTTTACTCCATCTTGAAAACAGTTGAAGTAAACATTAGAACGTTCTTTTATTTATTTTTTTGCTCTATGTTTTGTGATTCTGCCTTTCAACTTGATATATTTATTGAACTGATAAATCAATTTAAAAAAGGTTGCTTTCCTCTAGACCAAATATTTTCTTAACGTTTTTTTTTTTATCCCATTCTTTTCTTTTAAACAATACGCCAGTACAAGTAGAAAATATTGTATACCAATGAGCAAATTAGCTATTATACCCACCTAAATATAAAGCATATTTTCTTTTCGTTACCAATGTTACTTCGAAGAAGCAGGCATTTTGAATGAACTTGAGTTCTTATGCAAAGTAAAGAAAATATACTTCGGCTGAAGCGTCAAATAATCAGGTTTGCGACTCAAGTTTATTTTTTTGCACACCCTTAATTAATCTCTTAAGAAAAAGGGGAAATACATAGAACTGCCAGGTGATACTTTTAAAGGCTGTAGGTGCTTAGCGCTTTTAATTGCTCAGAAACAAGCAGATCTTTGCAAGGAAATCGAATGAGATTCTTATCCCGAATTCATGTGAAACTAGGCTTTAGGGAACTAACGATCATGCTGAGAATCGACAGGTTTTAACCTCTGTGCGTTAAATGTACATGCGTATTAGTAATCGTTGTGTTTTCAAGGAAACAGATGTTTCGCTGAAAATGTGCCGCTAATTCCTTCCTGGTGCGGCTCCGCTTTGCTAGAAAACTGATGACGCTTTCCGGATAAACTAAAGCTCTTTTCAATATCAAAAATAATAACAGCCACAACGAAAAAATTATGAAAAAAATTATGGGATTTTTCATTCAGGAAACGAAATATGCCTTCTTTGTAGTGCGGGATCCGCGAGAACAAACCACGGACAAAAGCAAGGATATTCCAGTTTTGTTTCGTCCACTTTACGGTGAAAGCACTTTGATAAAAATTCTACCCTGAGACACAGGCTCGCACAATTAGCCATTATCTGTTGCTGGGACAATCTGTGATCATTATTTATTCACAAGCACTTCGCACTTCGGGTTCACAGAAACTTATTAACCACCAAGCGAATGCACGATACGGTAAATATCACCCACGAATATTCATTACTCCCTGGTAGGTCAGTCCTTATAATGTTTGCAATTTTTCTGTTTCAATAATTAGCACTCATGTCGTCGACGACTTTTAGGCAATGATACAATTCCGTTTTGACGACCGTGAATGTTCTTATTATTAATGCCTCCAGCTTCGCTAACGAGTGCCAATTTCAAGCGCGATTTTCCATCTACAAGTTGGATGGCTGCTTGTCACTAAGATAGCCTTCAGGATTTTACTGTAAGTTGCCATTGATGTATTTGTTTTAGTTTGTATAGTTGTGAACAACGCAGAAACGGAGAACATTGAACGTTTGTTATTGGTGAAAAACTTACTAAACACGGAGTCCGCATTATCCGGCAATACACACCGTTCAGTTTTTGAGCACCAAAATAAGCCTACGCGTGCGTAAGTGCAAGACGAAGAATTAAACCCATCTGAATTCAAAGTACACCATCGCCTCTTCAACGGCTAGTTTCTTTTGCTTGGTAAAAAAAATGGAACCTCTTCGGTTCTGTTACATTTTATCATTTAACATTTAAGATTTAGTCCGTTTTTTGTCGAGGGGAACTCGCAGGGTTTTTTTGACAGCTTCTAGTTTGAACAGAGCCGTTTGATTATTCGATAATGCTATCAGTGGAAGCTATCGAGGTTAATCCATATTTATCTTAGCAGCGTTGTTCGTAAGACGATGTTATTTGAAGGGCGTTTGTTTAGCGCCTTTTATTCGCTTAGGGATTCAAAGTAAAACTCATTCGCTACCACTGCATTCGAATGCCTCGGTCGAGAATCGAACTGAATGTGCAGATGAGGAAAACAAAGACTCTTTTCTAAACAAACAACTGTAAAAATTGATCGAAGATACGCTGTTCTTACTTTTTGCTGCATTTTTTTCACTCGTTTCGAATTCATAAATTATATAGATTATTTTCTTCGTGAAACATAGATACACCAAGTACAATTCTAATGTTCGTTATACACGTACTACGGGTAATTATCCACCATGAATCGAATTGCAACTTTTTAATCAAATAAACAACAACTGAAGCAATGGTTGAGATGTGTCATGCCACAGTGTAAATTCTTAGTGTGCAATATTCAAGACAGTGGGCGACTCAGCACGAACACTTCGCTCACTTTTATTCTCTAAAAAATATATTTTTTAGTCGATTGTTATGCGATTTTGTTCTTCGATTGTCAACAAAACTCAGGATACGTGTTCTGTGTAAAATTATTAATGAGATGCTTTACAAAAGGGAATCCGATGATCGCAGTTTTACTTATTTCAATTGAAGCATTTAAAAAGCAAGCATGAAAACGGAAAAAGAAACGGAAATAGCCATCAATGTCACTGAGATCCTTGACCTTTGCCATGTTGATGGAAACGCTCGCTTCCTGAGCTATGAATTGAGAAGCCACTGGAGATAGGCAAGTTCAAATTAATTAATATGAGATGACGAATATATGAAATAATTCGTGTATTTAAACTGCGATGAAAAGAACGGAAGAGATTGCATTGCCATCTTTGCAGTTATCCTTTCAACTTATTAAAGAGCTTAAAACAGGAAGCTTGAAAAAAAAAAAATGAATTTTTCATTAAGATTCTCTCGTTTCGTAGATTTTTTTAATCATTACCAAGGAAGGAACATGTCCTTTGAATTTGCCATTTAACTGCAATACGTGGAATCCCTATTTCTCGAACGCTCGATTTTTCAAACCTTCCGATAACTCGAACCAAGAGTCGTTTTCTTCCCTCAGTCGAACACTGTAACTTCATCCCCGATTTCTCGTACAACTCCATCATTTCAAATCGATTTTCGTTTCCCTTGGAGGTTGGACAAATCGGGATTTCTCTATAGTTTTCTTTCAGATTTTTCCAGAATTAAGTCCATCTTGCTTGCAATTCTTAACTGCAGGAAATAGCCTCATAATTGGGTTGCTATAAAGCTTTTCCTAAGAGATCTCGTGAACGAAATTGAATTATCTAGTGAAGAAAAAAATCGCTGAGAATTGCTGGTATTTCATGTTAGTGGCCAGTGTTCAAAATATCGATAAACGATAACGATAAGCGATAACGCTCCTGAAACAAATGCGTAATGATATGAGAATCGTGATGATCATGATAATCGTGATTACTGCAATTAACGTGATGACCGTGATACTGAATACGACAAGAGAGAAACAGATTTATTTTAGCAAGAATAACGACAAAAAATGCGTTTCTGTTACAATAAGTCAACAGAATGCATGCATTTAGACTTTCTTCATTCCAAAAGGGGAGAAAACAAAAGAAACGATTTCAAGGTCACTCTCGCAATGTTGTTATGAATAATTGAAAGCACAGCACGTCTGACTGAAACACATTTTGAGGTGTTTTGTTTCAACTTCTCCTCTTGTCGCGCCAATAGGCCCATAAGGCGGTGTCTTTATTTGCAGGCAGACAATAAATCATTTTTAAAAGGACTCCCGCAAACTCTATCTTTTTATCCAAAAGGAGAGGCCCAGATTCCTTGAGGGAAAATTGCTTTTTGAGCTTGGGTTCAACTGAGCGAGTTTGTGACAACGTAGCACAATTTATTAAGGACATTTGTCATAATTTGAGTAAGTCCCCTCATGAAAGAGTCGTAAAGGATCATATACTAAAAGTAGGATGGAACCACTCGCACCTGATATAAATTCAACAGTTTTTAAGTGCTTCAAAACACCGTTTTAAGCTGACAGAATTGTATTACGTTTCTGCTGAATCTGATTCTTGGTCTCATTAACTCGGTAATGGAGACAATTTTTGTACATACCATTGTGGTGAATCATGGGCGGTTTTGACGCTTATTCAGTGGACTCTAGCATTATTATCGACGCTGCTTTCTTTAATGAATGCTTTTTAATCAACGTCTTACTCGTATAGTTTAGACTGTGAAATAACTAAGACTAAGTCGAAACCCAGCCTAAACAAATAATTAAACATTTAGCGGAGAACCATGGGCGGTTTTGACGCTTATTCAGTGGACTCTAGCATTATTATCGACGTTGCTTTCTTTAATGAATGCTTTTTAATTAACGTCTTACTAGTATAGTTTAGACTATGAAATAACTAAGACTAAGTCGAAACCCAGCCTAAACAAATAATTAAACATTTAGCGGAGAAATGAAGTATAAGAGTACGGAAATTACATAGAATTGTGACCAGAAAAAGTAGTCGCTCTGTCTGTTTAGGATGCCAGCCCGATCTCAGCTCTTGACAATTTAAATAGCGACAAATCCAAATTTTAATGATTTTATCCACTGAATAATAGTTTAAACTATGGGCACTTTCCGTTCAACCAAAAATTCCGGAACTTCCCTAACGGGGACAAATGTTTCGTAAGTTTCCTTGGAAAGTTTCCGGAAAATCCGAAAATTGTTAAATTGTCGAAATACGAAATCTTCCGAAAATCCCTTAATAAAGAAAACAAAATGAAACAGGAATTACTAGAAGGAAATTTTCAAAAATTTGGGTATAGTACGCGAGGTTGTCCTCTTTTCCGAAAATTTCGGAAAATGCTATGAACATTTTCGGAAATGCGAACTGAAAGTTTTCGACAAATGGAAAGTGCCTTAGAGAATTTGGACAGCAAATTTGTCACAGCCATAAGTAACAACACAGTGCAAACAATGATTCTTTTCTTTTTGAAATAGAATGATTTACAAAATGTTGCTCTTCATGCTATAGATCTCATAGAAACACGCCTTTAGTCCAATCAAAGAGTTTTTTCATAAACAAAATTGAAACATTCATGTGACAGTTGTAGGCTATCATTTTATCAGTTAACTTTAAAAATAGTACTATAACCTTTATCTTCGCCAGGCATTTAGATGATTTCCAGTAAAATAACTTGCTATTAAACGAAACCTGTTTACAGTTCGAGGAAGCTATATTTAATGTATTTTCCTGTTTGAAAAAAGCAATACGATCTTGGTATATATCTTATAATTTATTCATATTATAAAAGGATTCTTTTAATATATATGTGAAAATAATTTTAACTTAGGAATGTCTCCAGAATGGTGCATTTGACACTTCCAGACATTCCCTTCTCTACGCTGTCAACTCTTCTTTAAGTTGTATAATAATATTTGGAGTAAAGTTAATAAATCAAGTTTATTTTACTCGGCTTGTGTTAGAAAAATCTAACCAGGCTATCTGAAAGCATGATTCGGCTTTCAACACATGTAGAAAAAGATTTTTGAATAGCTCCATTTTTGCATGAAACACTTTCACCGATATTCTCCGATTCGCTTTCGCAAAAACATTTTCAAAGTAGGTTTTATTAACGTTCAGACTACAGCAAATGACAGGTTTTTGCGCTTTACTTCTGAATCGATGCATCAGTTGTTATAATTTTTCAGTTTCTGCTAATCCCTTTTAATTGTTTCCTCTTGCAAAACGGATTGAACAAATTTGGATTTGGTGCCCGTTCAAACTCTGCAGTATAAAGATCATTACCAAGTAATTTTTCCTCATCTGGAAACAATCTTGTTATTGTCGTCTAAGAACAAACAACCCAGTAAAACAAAAACATGGTAAACCAAATAGTAAACTTTGCATCATTTAGTGGTAGCGTTAGAGTGCGGAAGACCGTACCTCATGTTATTGAAAGCTTGGACTTCCTCGACTTTCAGCGGAGTCAGAATAAAGCACATCACCATCTGCGAGGTAATAAGAAAAGTTGTCTGCCATCGTGGCGTCGTTTTAAGAAATCATCTTTTAAATTTCTGTCCGCGTGAAATAGCTATACGCGCGTAATATTGCATGCTGATGTAAATATCAATTTGTATTAAATTACCTTCTCTATCAAGACTTGATTTCTTTCAAATTAATCAGTCCTTCTGAACTCAGACATGTATTGAAGTTGTCTCTGCCTGAATTGCTATATATTGCGTAAATGTGATATTACTCAGTCAAACGTGTAGACAAATCACTTCGTTCAGTAACTAGAGTTACAGCAGCAGATTTTATTGTTTGCATGATTGATGTCGCCTTCAAGCGCAATGTCCCTATTAATAATGAGCAAACTGTTAGCTTGCTCGTTAATAATATAGCTAGTGACACCCTTACAAGGCATATGATTTTGTGATTTGACGCCAATTTACAAGGATTAAGGGGATTACACAGAGGTGCTTCATTGTTTCTAACAAACCACTTTACCCAAAACTGCTGGCGCGTCACAGTTTGAGACCGGGTGTCACATGGTAAGTACAGATGTATCATCATAAAAACTTCAAACTGTATTTATGCCCTTTTCAAACAACTGAAACAAACTTGTGAGGTGAGTACAGTTTTAGGCATAAAACGTCTACAAAATATGTCACATTGTAGAAAAGAGAAAAGAATTCCCGTTATGAGAGTCTTACATCGCCACATAATCATTACTACTGTACAAAACGGAAGAACAATGGTAATAGAAAAACAGTTAAAAGGTATTGGAAGAAAATAGTCTCTTTGTAAAAACGAAAATAATTTCTTTATCAAAACACTTTTTTGACAAGGGTAAATCGTTTATTCTGAATTCGGAATGGTTTGTGCTTATGCAATGGTGTAAAAGTAAGGTGCAGTGTTTGGCATGCAAGTTTATAGTAATAATATCTTCCGTTACATTTATCTTCAGTGGGGCACTGAAACAATTAGGTAGAGTCGCCATTTTATGAATAATTAATTATGTGCATGTCAAGTGTATTATTTAATAGTATCATCTACACATTTAAAAATGGAAGCACTTGTTTGGCCGTTGACAAAGATTTCCCCGTTAATATTTTTTGGGGGATTAGCATGTTGTGGTTTTTGATGCATGATAGAAAAGAAACCTTCTCAAATTTTCATCTTGTCGTATTACTAAGCAGTGTAATTTTGCGGTTTCATCTCCCTTATTTCATTTGAACATCTTTATAATTACATTTTGCTAACTTACTTTCTTTTTACTTCTTAAATTTGATAAAAATCTTGCTCAATCTCAGTCAATAAATACAGAGTCGAGGGAAAAATGACTCCAAAACCCAGCAGTATTTATCAGACCTTCATTTACCAGCTGTCCGACGTATTTTATACGTAATTCTCAAGTCGTAAGATTCGTGAATAATTCCAATTAGCATAGGTGACATGACAAGTAATTTAGGAGAACTGATGGCTTCAGGTATATTCATTCCAGGATGCGAAAAGGGCACCTTGTCACCTTCACCATGTCAATTGCGAGCAAAAACTCCTTATATTGACTTTTAGTAAGCCCCGACGTTGTTTGGGCGACGGGCGAAGGTCGCAGTCCTCGAAACTGTTATGTTTTCATAGCAGGAATCCGAACACATTACAAAGACTCTTTGTTATGAATCGCCAAAATATGTCTAAGCAGCCAAAATAAGCTCATTATCATGCACCGCAAAATTAGCAAAGCCCTTTAAAATAGACGGTTTCATTAAGAAATGTTTCAAAACAAAAAAATGTCGGAAGGACCTAGTCGAGGTTAATTTTGTATGTTTTGAATGTCTACACGAAAACCTTTGTTTGAACAAACAGATTAATTTCCTTGGCGGAGAGATGGTCAACTTTAAGCTCTGATAATTGAGGAGCCAACATCTCGAAACTGGTATGATGTTAAGCTTGATTCTATTCAGTGGTCATGTTGCTATGTAGTTGTCAAATAAATTATGATCGTTTTTAGCTCCGCGCACATCTATGAGAAATAATTACGTATAAAAGCGTTCTATAACATCGGGCTACCAGAACAACGTTTTAATCCACAAACTTGTCAGACATTTCTCAAACCTCTTTTCTCGACGGTATTGAATAACGTGGGTTTTTTTTCCAAAACAGAACGACTTACCAGGACAAAAACGACTATATAGGAGTCATAAACCCAGCGTTTGACAAACGCAGGTGGGAGAATACATAACGGCTTTATTCTAAACGTGCAAGACTTTAATTTATGTTGTGTTTTATTCGACCTGAAGGCCCAATTTTCCTCAGATGGATTTTCGCACTGCTGTCCCAGTGTGTTGTACCGTAACAAATCTTTCTTTTGGCGCAAACCGCTTGACGCAGATTTCCAGGTGCATCGATATCTGTATTCTTTGCCACACGATACTATCTTGGCCTCCTATAGCGGTATTTTAAAAGCTGCGCAACTTTTAGCTGCAAAGAGAAAAAATTACCATTATATTTTTATGATCTTAAGTTTCTTAATTGTTTTCAGATTTGGGCTAGCATTGACAGCGCATAGTGAGGTTGTAAAACTTTACAAGGTGGCAAAGTCATCTATCATTATTTGTCAAACGTGTGCGACAGCTGCGAACACGAGCAATGTTTGAAACTTTACTCTCGATGTTAGCGTCTAGTGAGAAGTAAGCGAACCTTTGCCTACTCGTCAATTAAACAGGGCTTAAAACCATGCAACTGTATGCATATTCGGTCGCTTTAATTTGGTCAGACAACAGCTAGTGACAATTTGGGACTGGCTGTTCTAACCGATGTGTTTCAAAGTGCGTCAAAAGGAATCCTTCGGTCGAGGGGTGCACACTTTTACGCCGTGATAATGTGAAATAAAACTCAGCAAACTTTTATTTTCTTGCTTTCTTACAGGGTGTTTCAATCTAGAAGGCAGAATTACGCTGCCATCATGGATACAGTCCTAGGCAGCATTGGGTTACTGCTTATTGTGAGTGGGATGGTGCAAGCAAGTACAAGGGCACCAGATAGCCCAAACAAAGAAATTAACGAAGGTTTTTATCTTCCTTCAAGTGCCATCCACGCAAAAAATGACACCACGATTTTTGAACTGCGAAATATAACCTTCAGCGGAAATGTTCTAGCGGAGGATGAACTGGCTCGATTTAGTTTCGACGAGAAATGTTCCCGAGGTCTTCCATTGTCAGCAGCGTGGCAGTATTACGGTCCGTATACAAAGCCAAACATACGTAGTGGCCAAGTTGCCGTGGAAGGAATCTTTCCGCACATGATTAATAAGATGCTTCGCGTTTGTTGTAACAGCTCTGCGACCGTAAAATTTGGAAAAATCTATGATTCTATTCGCGGTCTGGAGGGCCATTTAGACCAACCGAACGAAGCTTATGATTTCAGCTTTCCCATCACTGGTCTGAGTTTGGAAGACGAAGTATTTAAAGACATGCCTTACATTCCATTCGTACAGGCTCCTAGAGTGGCTCTACTTGTTCATGAAACGGCAGAGGACAACAAAACTACTCAGCTGATGAACACTGTGTTCAAAGCATGGCCCATTCTCATTTTCATACTTGTTGCAGCGACTCTTTCTGGTATCATCATTTGGCTTCTGGTAAGCCCTTTATTTGTTCGAGTAAATAAAGTGAGCTTTTCTTCTTGCTAAATATTAGAGTATAGATTAATGCACCATATAGCATTTGATGCCTTTGATCCGGTATGGTTTGTATTCGCCAATTTATTGATTGAGGTTACTGACTGCCACTCGGTATATCGATTACCGCGAAATCCTTCTCAAGGCTGGCTAATTTTAAAAATGCGTTCAACTTGAAAGGAGGAATCTCACATATCTGGATTTAATTTCACAGTAGACCATTCTGGAGTCGATAAATGTTGTATTTACCGCTGTCTATATGCACCATTAATATATTTGGTATATTTGTAGATAGTTCTCTATGTTTTTATTTTTCGGAAGAAATTTGCCCTAAGTTTCCCCATTTAATATCCAAGCTGTATTTCAAGAAAAACAATTCCTCCATCATATCTGAACCTGAGCCTTTCGAAGGCCAATTCTCCATTTCCGTTTAATTCGAGCTATCCATTGTAATATAGATATGCAAATTGCTAGTTTACCAAAATTTCCTTGTTTTCTGGCCAATAATCAATTCAAATCTAGCTTTCTGTAAGCCTATCAGTTAGATCAATCAAGATTGGTCTGTTAGAGTTTTCTAGTTGGAGATTAAAATTTTTCTGTTGTCAATGTTTGATGGCAATTTTTCAAGTTATTTGAAAGTTTAGCGGTCAATATTGATTTTATCTATTTTAGAAGGATATTCTCCCTTTTACCGGAGCAATAAATCAATGTCTTTCTTCAAAATGTCAAATGTCATGATGATGTATTATCAATATCCAAATACTCAATCGTGTCGGGCGCTCTTCCAAGAATCAATCCAAATTTGACATTCAAATATTTTTATGATCTTGAACAATTTTGACGGTCCAATCGCCTCTAACGCCTGCTGGGTCGGTCTCCTTCATGTCGATTCGCCCGGTTTATAAAGACACAAACAGCATAATAATATTTAATTACCCAACGGCAAATATTGATAAAAGCAGATGGCGATTTAAAATCGCAGTGGGAAGTTAAACTCGATGAGATATTAAAATGTGGGATATTAAACGGAGTTTTGAATAACTAATTGAAGATTACTGACACATCAGCAGCAGACGCTACAAGCTGCAGTTGTACATAGTGAAACAGATGCAATTAGCCGACGAATAGCTGGAGCTGAGTCTCCCCTCAAGATATAAAAACAATAGCCTCCATTTGGCGCGAAATTATGTACAGATATTTGTTGGCGGATATAATCTGTTCCGAGATGCGAACAGTTTTCCGAGAGCGTAGCTCGAGGAAAACTATGAGCTTCAAGGAACAAATAATGTCCAAGGACAAATATCTGATCATATCTTCACGCCAAATGGAGGCTACTGTGTTTATTATCCTTCAAACAATTTTCGCAACACGTGCAGTTTTGAAAATTGGGGCATATCACTCGGATATTCCCCAGGTTTAGATGGGGCATATTCAGTCATGTGACGCGTTTAGACCAATCGCGCGCGAGGGAAAATATTTGAAGGACTATGAAGCTCAATATAGTGATTGTAGTTCTTTTGTTTTTGACAATGACTTATCTTTCCTTTTAATATATAGGCGTATTTCCCTAAGCCAGTAAGAGTTAACCAGTAAAATGCACCAGTCATAAAGTCATAAATCTCAAAGAGTGGAAAAGAAAGAACGGTGGAATCTTGTAGCCTAATTTTCTGCCATCTACTTCCCGAATTACACATGTTAACTGTCATGTGCCTTTCTCGCAGGACCGCCTAAAGAATCCGGATGAATTCCCACGTCCGTTTATCAATGGCACCTGGGAGGGTTTTTGGTGGGCTTTTGTTACCATGACAACGGTTGGGTGAGTGAGTAAATCAGTTCTTGACAGATGCTGTAATTCGATCCTAAAGATCATGCGCAGTAATGAAAATTCGGAAACCGGAAGAGAAATCTTAGCTTAGAAACAAGAAAATGACACTTTGGAAAGAAAAATTTTCTGCCGGAAGTAATTTGCAAATCATTGTTCTTACATGAACTTGGTTCATTGAAATAGTTCAATTATACTCACTAGAGCCTCTTTATCTTAGGATCTGCGTTTTTGACATCAACCTGAAATTAAACTTTTTGAACGTACTACTTTGTCGCTTTTAACCCCCAAATTTGATTCCGAAGAGTAACAATTTTAATTTGCTTTTGAATTTGTATTTCCAAACTGCGATGAAACTCTCTATAATAAATACCATTTCTTCCCTTTCAGTGCTAATAACTCCCCTGTTAGCAAATACAGCTCAGATTTCACCAATGAAACCTGTATCAAGCGAACACCATTGGGATCCTCATTAGTGTCCGTTTAATACAGGGTGTCCGCTCTAAGCAGGTTCTAATATATTGTGCAATAATAGTTAATTATTAACCCTTTTGTAACTCAGTGTAACACAGTGTAAGATCAAAGACTTCTCATAGCATAATGTCCAGTCAGTCAATGCATCAATCTGGAATAATCTAGTTAGCTTTAAAACGACATCGCTGAACAATGTTAAAGGAGTCTGAGCTGAGCTTTCAGAAGTAAGAAGCCCTTGTAGTGTCCGGTTATTGTAGGTTTTGGGCCACAAAATGGCGTCCGCGTCCGCTTAATAGAGGTGTCCGCTGAATGCAGGTTTGTTTTACAGCAAATGAAGGTAGAAAATTTGAGACATAAGCTGGTGTCCACTTAACAGAGGGTGTCCGCTTAATATGGGGTCCGCCTAATACAGGTTTTATTGTAGTTACTCTGCTGTTAAAGCTTTCCCCCAGTCTTCCCTTTCATGTAAGCCTGGACCAAATGAAAACTGGGATGACAAGCCCCAATGTTAGCTTTCGTTGAACCTAAGGCTTTCTACATTCACGGGGATTCTTGCGTGCGCCTCATTCAATCTGAGCCTGATCGGAATTTCCAGTCCACCAGAGTTTTCTTGGCTCTTTCGCTGAGAGTTAAAGAATACTCTTAGCAACTCTTACCTCCTTCAACTTAGGTTGTTTACCATTTAACCGAAAATTCCGGAAATTTCGGTCAGAATGTAAATGGTAAGAGAACTCGACAGACTGGGAAATTTTCGAAATAAACGGAACGTCTTGAAAGGTAGTCCAAAATTTCTAACCGAAATATCCGAGTGGGAAATTTGCTTACCATCTGCAATTCTTCACCGCCATCTTGGAATTATGATCAGGTCGAATTCGTTCTAGGCTCTCTCGGTAATATTGGGGTGTTTGAGTAAATGGTAAATGGCCAATCCGAACGGAACTTACCACCAGGCATTTTTGCTTACCATTTGCACAACTGTTGACAAACGGGTTTCTCCGTGTAAATGGTACAGAGTCTTACTCTCGGTTTCCCACTCTTAAAAAGCGTTTCTTCTTCAATGTTTAGCCGATATTTCTATACTTTTATTGTTTAGATACGGTGACCGCGCACCCAAGTCGTTTTTGGCGCGGATCTTTTGTATCGTGTGGATCCTGGTGGGGATTATTATCATTGCAATATTCACCGCTATCGTAACTGCCTCGCTATCAGCCAGTATCCAACATCATTTCACTGTCCACGGCTCTGTGGTAAGCTATGAATAAAATATGATCTCATGAATTATCTGAAGACCAAGAGAGGCCAAGTGTTTATCATCTGTAGTCGTTTTTATCCATGCGACAATGATTCTGGTCATGAAAATCATACAAACAATTTTCATTTTAAAACGTTTGGTAATGCATGTGTGTAAAAAGAGCTTCGACTTCAGCTAATTCAAAACATTTAAGGCAAGAAATGTTGACAAAGTATGTATCAATGTTCTATAGCTACTTATAGTTCCATTCGTAATTAGCATCATTTGTGTTAATCGTTTGTATTTACAGATTGGAGCAGTAAATGGTAGCGAGGAATTCCGTCTTGGAGTCAGTTTGAACGCTGACATGAAACGTAAGAACACGTTAGCAAGAATTAAGGTGCATAGGGAACTGACTGGCCGACTGACTGTTCCACTGTCTAAATGTCTGACTGACTGACTGGCTGACTGACTTACTGCCTGCCTGCCTGCCCGCCTGTCTGACCGTCTGTCTGACCGTCTGTCGGACTGACTGTCTGACTTTCTGAATGACTTTCTAACCGTCTGACCGACTGTCTGACTTTCTGAATGACTGACTGACTGTCTGACTGACTGTCTGACTTTCTGACTGGATTTGATAGCATTGCAATCTCCCTCAGTTTTATTAGGATCCCCAGGTTTTGTAATGAATAACTGATCAAGCCATAATCTTTTTTTCCCCTTTTCAGCATATCATTCTATACCGAAAATGAACTCTGACCTGCTGGCCGAAAAGCTAAAAGGCTCTTTGATAGACAACTATGTGCTGACATATTACAGTGATTTTGTGAGAGTAAACGACGAGGTGCGAATCGAGACTACCTTTGAACATGCCATCACCTATGGTCTGGCCGTTCGTTCCAATGCGTCATCGGATAAACTGGAGTGTTTTCGGCGTTATCTTCGGAATCACCCTCAGGAGGCGTTTGAAATTATTGCAAAGAACCTCGAACCACTCAAGGTTAGAGCCTTAGTCAATTTTGTTGTTATTATCAAAATATATGAAATGGTAAAATATAATCTAATTGCAGTCTAAAGCGTGCAGTTACCGAGAAAGGCTAGACAAATACAGGCTAAACAAGATAAGACTCGATGACCTCGATAGTTTTAGCTAGTTTTGTAACCGGTTGAAATTTCACAAGCTGTTTTATGAAATGTACCTACCTACATTTTCTAACGATAAATTCTGGACAAGGACGTAGTCCCGTTGTAAGACTTTTCCCTCCCTAACCCTGCTCATTTTTCTTAATTAGGCCCGCCCGCTTTTTCGATTGTTCCCACTGACGGAGAGCCTGCAACAGGCTAAAATGAATGACGCTAGCAATCCAGGCAGATTTTCCTCAGCGATAATACTATACACAGTGAAGAAATTTGATAGTTCTTGGGAGTCTTGAAAGAAATTTAAGACAAACAAGCCGCGTATCGACACAAAATAAAGGGTGTGAATGGGGTTGAAATTTTAGCGAAAATTTTGATCGAAATCGGTAAAATCGTCGAAAATTTATTAGATAATTAGATTCGAGCACATCCATCAAGACCCGTCAAAATATAACACAAAAATTTCGTGGAAGATTTAACTTCACTTCTAAACAAATTAAGTCTAACATTTTATTAAAGTTACACAAGCAAAGAAGCACATCAGCAAATATCAATGGCGCGGGTTTTGCTTCTTCTGTGGCATTCCTTCATGTACTCAACTTTTGCTGAACCTCTTTTTATCTGCATTTTGTAAAAAGAGTCTCGAATTGTATTTTTATTTCCTGTTTTGTTTTTATTTTGTAGAATCCTACCGATGAAGTTAGCCAGGAAGTGAAAGCCTCCGAGGGATTGTTCTTCTTCAAAGAACAGACTTTTCAAAACGTTCTCTTCATCTTGCTAGGGGTGCTGGGATTTCTTCTCCTGGTCGGTGTAGTCTGGGAACTACTTTATCATCGACCAAAGCGACGTAAGAAATTTAGAATATTTTTAATCAGTGAAATTCATTTTATTGGTAAGAAACGTCAAGAGAAATTGGCAAGTGGGACGAGAAAATTGTTTCGCAGTGAATGGGAATCATAGAACGCGTTTTCACGGTAACTGGATCCTGTGCCCGGGGGGGGGGGGGGGGGGGGGGGGGCGGTACTTTCTCTGATGGCCCAAACGGAGAGGTTCCGCCTGAAAGGGGCATCTTTTTCAGGCTTCATGTAATATAAAAGGGTTAGAATTTCACAAGTTAAGGTATATGAAACGGTAAGGAAATCTGTCATTAAGTAATTTTAAGGGGCCTTTTATTAAAATACTTCGAACAGACGCAATTTATGGCAGTATCATTTCATTTCATGAAATTGATAAAAGAATCCTTTTTGTGTGTTTTATTGTATATACGGGGCAGTTATGAAAGTATGTGAAAAGGGTATCTTTTTCAATTAAAGGTATCCGAAAGGAGTACTTTTTCTGTCAAAATGGTCTACAAAAGGGTAAGGGGTTGGAACTCGGGCCGGGGCCTCCTCGTATAAAACTTTGTAGAGTACCCACCCAGGATCCTGTGTAGACCACTTGGTCATTCTACACGACAACTTATACCATAAGTAGAAATAATGTTAAGCGCGTACAATTAAGTTTAAGAGGTGCTAGCGACTATCGTCACAGAGCCACACACTTCATAGGTTTGATGTTTTTTGAAAGGAAGTAACTCGCTCGATTTGCAGCAAACGGTCACTGTCAAGTTATATGCAAACGTTTGTCTTTCTAGATTTAATTTGTGGCAAATTGATGCTAATTAGAAAAGATGATAGATCGCCCAATACAGCTGGGACACAATAAGGGACATGCTGCGAGGACATGAGGCGACATGAGGCGGAGACATATTGCAGCGACAGTTTTTCTCGTGCGGCAAGCCTGCTTTTGCGAAAAAGTTCTGTTGCGGAGACAGATTTTGACCCGCAACATGTTAGATGAAATTCAGTAGGTTTGAATTCGTGCGTTATGAAACATGGGCAAAATGACCTCAATTTATAACTGTCGTATTGTGTGCACTGCTCTTGCAAACTCTCTCTGCACCAGCTTGCGTACTGTCTCTCTTAGTGTTTGCCGACCTTTTCTTACTCAGGTACATCTCCTTCCTCAATATTTTAAATCAGGTTTATCGTTTTTCGGTTTGTTTGTTCTTCAGGTCAGAAGAAGAAGGACACAGAGGATGACGGCGCCTTCATTTCATTAACCCCGGCACAAAATATATGTGACTGTCATGAAATGTTCCTCAGTCATCAGACAATCCAGAGCATCAAATACAAATCCGCAAAAATCAAGGAGCTCATCCGGGAATATGAGGAATACTACGAGGCTTGGTTACAAAGGGTGCGTTCTGTTGAACACGAGGGAAATGGTGTAACGCCACAGATGGTTTGAATGACTTCGCGTGACTCCAAATATAAGTGACAGATTTATTAAGCTTTTTTCGTCTTTTCCTTTAAATCGCTATTTCAAGATCGAGAATGTTCCTCCCTGTTGGTGATCTTTAGGGCATGTGTTCTTGTAGGCGATGCAATTACTATTTATGCCTATTGGGGTATTGAGTGTAAATCTACTAGCGTTCTATCACGCATACCGTCCCCCTATTGGCTACACTACTCACTATCTATTCTGTTGTGAGTAGAGTGGCCTAGCAGTGTGCGGTTTTTACCAAAATGGCGGCCACTTCTTTGCGTTTTCGAAGCGTTTGTGAAGAGGATTTAGTTAACTTTTTTTACGACTAGTAGATTTATACTTAAACAGTTAGATTATATGCTCTCGATTTCTATACGTATACTCGTGCTGCACCCTCGTCAACTATCACGCGATAGAAATCTCGATTTCATATTCTAATTGTTAAATCCAAAGCATACAAAATCGTTCAAGGTGAGTCAACAAGCAGAAATTCCATTTTAACGCTGCAGTTTTTTTCGTGAACAGTATAACCTCATCACTTTTCCAGCGCTCAAAACGTTACTTTTATCATGCTATCGATGTGTTATTGCTTTTATAAAAGTACAAGTAGCCCCTTTTGCCAGCCCCAACCAGTCTGTTACAGGCATAAATAGAGAATGGTTCCTTGCGAGAGGAGAGAGACACGGGAGACTGTTAACCGAACATTACGTTGATGTATCAAAGAACCATGAAATGCAGGAAGGCACGCTAGACTGTGAAGAAGAAAAGCACATGAAACTTGACTGTAGCATGAATCACTACATGGAACCCTACTGTCCAGCTGTACGGGTCACCGCCATAACTAATTTGCTTGAAAAGACACCTGCGTAATTAAGTTTTACCTTACAGTGTAAATAGAACAGCGAGAAACTTGCTGAAACGAAGCTTAAAAGAAAGTTGTCCTTTAGGAATTAAATCTAAGAGTGAGAAGGGACAACAATGCAAAGGCAACGATGCTAAAACACTGCATTAAAGAAAGTCCTAATATTAAAGCGTCTTATTTTATTTATTTCACCTTTCACAAAGCATAGACATGCGGTTATAGACACACACGTCTACAAGTGCACAACGTTTGAAGCAGAAGTTGTATAACAGGCGTTTTATGTAACTTCCCTAACGAGGAAAAAATTGGACGCCGGGGCGAAAGGACAGAAAGCAGAGAGCCTCAATGACGCATATGTAAAAATTACCGACCGCTGACACGCGTCACACAAGATTTCGCTTGTGCCCAAAACAAGCGCTCATGTATAAGGTAAACTTTTATTCGCTCACTCGTTCAGCCAAAGACGAACTTTTTCTATTATCAGTTAAATAAGATATTTTAGTTTGCCTCCACATGACTAGAGAGTGAGAGAGGTGTATGAAACTGCAATAAGCGTAAAAAACTCTCTTGGCCTTTAATAAACAACTCCACAAATCAAAACGGCGTGGTACAACGAGTGTGCATACGAGCGGCGTAGATGCAAATAGCGTGGATACAAACAGCGTGGGTTGAAACTAAAACAGTAAAAGAGCAAAAGT